CTTGGGCTCTCTGGGCCTCGCTGCCCTGTCTGTCAACTGTGGGACCACGGAAGCTACCCGGGGGCAGTGCTGAGGGTGGAACCGCCAGAACCTCACCGAGCGCCCAGGGCCCCACCCGCAGTAGCTCTGACACCCTGGGCCCGCGCCTGGGCGGCTCCCGTTTCCTTCTCCAGGGCTCTGCTGTGAGCACGCGCTTCCCAGGGCCTCTCTGGGCACCGACGTGGCACCCCGGTGTTTGCTGGGAGCTCAGCCTCCGCGGCGGCCGGCACACAGCGCCAACGTAGGACCGGGGTGGCAGGGGTGACGTCGGCACTGAGGTGGACTGGGGCCCAGAGAAGCCTTTCTTTTCTTTAGGACTTTATTTCATTGAAACCTCAGGATTCTTTAAAATAAATCGGTGCTCTTCCCCCCATGGCAGCAGTAAGCTAAGCCCCTTGAAGGCCTTTCTCTCCCCTCATCCCAGGGGTCAGACGTGGCATGGACCGTCCCCTGCTGGCCACGTGGCCCAGCCGGCCACCCCCCAGGACCCTCCGGTCTGCCCCTGGAGACCTCCTCCCCCTCCCCCTCCCCTTCCCCTTCCCGAACCCCGCGCTGGTAACCCTCTGTGACCCTCACTAACCTTTCCTGGGGTTTTTAACTCATGTTAATCCTCCTTCGTCTGTATTTTGTGCCTGTTATTTCACTTTTCTCTCTAATTATTTAACACAGCTGTCTTGTTTGGCGAGTTGAATCAAATGGACTACACGTGGGTTATATACCAACTTAAACAGATTTGAGTTTCTTTTCTGATGATTTCATGTTGGTGTAAGTTTGCCTTCAGTTTCAGTAATGAAAGCACATTTGGATAAGTACTTGAGTAGATTAAAATAACTTTTACTTTATTCCTCCTGTTGATCCTTGTAAAACTGGACATTGGAAACGTTTTCCCTTTTATTTGTGTCTGAATAAAGAGAAAGAACAAGGGAAATGCTTTTAACATTTTATCCATAAGGAAAAAAAAGAAACTGCTGAAAAAATTGAAAAATAAAGATGACTTGCAAATCTAGTTTCTAGTTCATTCAGAAGAAGGAATTTAAAAATTGGGAAGGCTGCTTTGTCTATGAGAACCTTTTTACTTTGGGTTTCATAACTCAGCAATCTGGCCTGGGGCCCCAGGTGAGAACGCGGAGTTGCGTAAGAAGGCAGGAATAAGTTACTAAAGCTCGCAGGTGGTTAATATTAACTTCCTTTCTTTCATGAATAAACCATCTTATCCCGGCGGGACTCATGGGCGAAACTTAGAGGGCTTTCAGCTAGACCCGGGTTGGCAAACTTTCTGCGCAGGACGGACGAACAGTAAACATTTTAGGCCCTGCAGGACAGACCGGCTCAGAGGCAGCTGCTCAGCCCTCCATAGTTAGGGGTTTGAACATGAGGGCGGTTCTCAAAGTTAATTCTTGCTAAGTGTTAACGTGTAGCCATAGTATTTTGTACATGCAGCTATAAGCAGGATGAGCTGACAGGAACTCAATGGGATGAAAATACCCAACTGCCAGGAAGAAATCAACCTGTAACTGACCAGTGTGAGCACAGGCTAAGCCTCCCCCTGTGAGAAGCAGAGCTCTGGGTGACAGTCTCTTCTCCTTGACTTGCTGCAACTAAATAACAATGCCTTCCCAGAACCACATCTTGTTTTTGGACAGGGCACCCTCAGCAGCAACCCCCTTGCTTCAGGTAACAAAACCAGCCAGAGACTCACAAATGGGGCGCGGCTGTCTGCTCAGAAAACCTCATTTGCAAAAACAGGTGGAGGCTGGGGCTGGCTTGCTGGCTGTAGGTTGCCAGGCCCATTTGCGGGCCTAAGTCTCTGTTCTCTTAGACACACCAGGCATGTAGAAGAGGAAGCCGCGTCAACCATGTTGTAAGGTGATTATGGCATTGTGACTATTCGTAATTTTAACACTGATTTTAAATTATGAGTGGAAGAAAACACACACCTCTTGAGGCTGGGAGGCAGTTTCAGACCCAGAAGGACGACTGGCCTCCTGCCTGGGCAGAGCTCCCTGCCCTGCCCTCACGATCCATTCCTCACCCACTTACTCACTGTCCTCTGGGCCCCTCGTGCCGGGAAGGGAGGCTGCTGGCTGTGCTGATTTATTGTAGAGCTGGGAGAGCACACAACTCCGGAACCTTGGACTGGCTACGCGGCACAGGGAGCCCAAGACTGCGTAAACTTACTAAGGATTGTAGGACAACACATTTGCTGCTTCTACCACTCACAGACTATGTGACAATGTATTAGGCAGCGTTATCCAGACAAACAGAACCAATAGAATATGCTGTTACAGAGTGGGCCCGATCTATCATGATGTATCCATGCCAACTCTGAGGACTTAATCCTGTTTCTGAGTACATATAAGGGGTTCATTAATTGTCCTTAGTGAATAGTGTTGACTCTTGTAAGGAACCAGGAAACCAAATGCGAAACCTTGGACAGTTTGCCCAGAGACGACCGCAACCATAATGAGATGCTCCTGTCCAAACGTATCAGCAGTGATCAGCTCTCAGGTTACCGAGGAAGCATTAAAAATGGAAACACGGCTCACTTAAGTTTCAAATGCTGTCTCCTTTTTCATCTGAATAGACACCCTATCTTTCTGCATATTCATAGTAACCAGCACCTACACAATCTCTCTCTCCTAGGTATGACCAAGTAGGGTGTCAGGGGAGTGGAAATTATGGAGGTTCTGAGCAGGGAGTGCAAATCTGGAGGGTCCCCGAAGAAGGCGCTTGAATGGGGCCTTGATGGGGGCTGGGCTTGCAGTCCACTGTAAGGGGGGTGGTCCTAGGGCTGTGGTAAGGGTGGGCCCCTTCACCCCCGGGTGCCAGGCTAGTCCTGTTGCCAAGGAAAACATCCCTCAGGACACATTTCCTGCTTTGAGTGCCAGGAACTGCAGTTCACTCCCAAAGTGTAACTTGTTCATTGCAAGCAAGTTCTTTTTCCCCAGGAGTTAGGTGGACGGCTTCCAAGCGGGGCCTCACCTCAGGCCCCCTCGCCGGAGGCCACCACAGTCCCCGCAGAGAGACATCCCGTAGCTGCAGAGGCATGGCTGCCAGGATGCTTGTTTCAGACGTAGGAGACCCTGTTTTCCACATCCGAATACTCCTGGGGCTTTGCCACTGCTTTGGGACAGAGAGAGTCTTGTTGATTTCCGGAGATGCTCTCAGGCGGCCTCCGTAGCCTGGGAAAGCTTGGGCTGCGGGCTCAGGGGTGCACCTCATAAACTCGAGGGGGGCTCTGGTATGGCTGATGGCAGCCAGGTCTCCAAGGCAGCCGATCTCAGACGCGCTCTCCCAGTGGAGAGAACACGGGCTGCCTGGGGAGACGGGCTGGGAACAGAGAGGGGTCGGAAAAGCCGAGGGCCAGGCGCGGGGAGCCCAGGGAGCTGTGGAGCCTGCGAAACGGTGAGTCACATGATGAGACTTTCCTCGGGCGGAGGAAAGCATGTTTTCCTTTAAATGATTAAACTTAGTTGAACTTAGTTCAAGAAAAAATTTTCCATCTGAACACTCTTTTCCAGGCTGCAAAGAGTTTCAAGATGAGATTCGTTTTCTTAAAGAGAAAATGTGTATCGATAGCTTCCAAAATAGACACATCTGCGGACTTAGAACACTCGAACGCTCTCAAATAATGCCTTTGGCCCAACTCCTACATCTGGATGGTCGGGACAGCACATCAAAAAAGAGAAAAAGAAGAAAAAAAGGGAGGGGAGTCCTAAACCCCTCCTTGGCCTCTTGACAATAAAACGAAACAGCTATGGACTTGAATCCCATGTTTATTCCATTTTCTTGGGCATAAAGTTTTTAATGCCTACTCCCTAGGCAATAAAAATAGTAAGAATTCAAGTGTGTGGTTGGTAAAGCTCAGCCAAAATTTCCTGCGAACAATTATTCTACAATCCAGTCTGGATTCGGGTTAATGTCCCGTCAAGACACGGGGGAAAGCCCAGTGCGTCTGAGGCGTCCGGCCCGGGAAAGGCCGGGTTTGTAATAAGCCGGGAAGGGAGAGGGAGCCGCCCAGGCGTGACCAGCAGCGACGGCGCTGGGCGTGAGCCTGGCTGGGCGTGAGCCTGGCAGCTCGGGAGCCTTTCCCGCTCTTCTTCTGGGGTTGGTTCACTTAAAGAAAAAGACGCGTTTTTCTTTCTCTTCTTTCGGTCCCACAATCAAAAGCTAGAATGAATTAGGATCAGTACCGGATTGTAATTAGGGTCGGATTTTCTTTGATGTTTTCTTGGGGGGGAGGGGATAGGATGCGTTTTCTGCCTCCTTCTTTTAAAATGGTTTCTTTCCCAAATGCGACGCCTTCTTGATGAGGCTCAGCATTCGGGCTTCAGACCTCGGGCAAGGCCGGGAGAGGGGCGGGAGGGGGAACCGACGGCGCCCGCTGCCCGCTGCCGCGCCCCCCCGACCCGGTGGGAGGCAGGAGGGGCCGCCGGCGGGGAGCACCACCCGCCTCCCTCCGCCGTCCAGTCTCAGGCCTGCCCTGGGCAGGAGGCACCTGCGGATGGTGAGGCCACAGAGGCGCGCGTGTCCGTGCCTTCCTCGTCCTACTTGGAGGTGCTTTTACCGCCTGCCCTTCCCCAGTGTCACGTTTGAGGAGGGCGAGGTCGCCCAACTCCCCCTGAGCTCCAGCAGGGCGAGGCTGCGGGGTCACCTCCGCGCGGTTCCTCTAGGGGACGGGGCCGGCAATGAGGCGACCCCGGCCGGGGTTGCGGGCGCAGAGCCGGGAAGCCGACGAAGGACGAGGGTCGCCCCGCCCCAGCGCCCCCCACTCAGGTGCCCCGCCCCCCGATCTCGTGACCCCGCCCACCACCGCCCTACCCGGGTCAGCCCCGCCCCCGGCGTCCCCGACACCGGCGCTCCCCCTACGGTTTGTCCCGGCCGCGCCCCCTCCCGCGCCCCCGCCCCGGCCTCTCCGCAGCCTCGCAGCGACCTGCCCGCTCGGCGGGTGACGGCGCGCCATGGGCAGCGGCAGCAGCCGGAGCGGCCGGGCCCTGAGGCGGCTGCGCGGCCCCGACAGCCGGCCGGCGGGGCCCGGCGGGGCAGCGCCGGAGGGCGGGACAGCGGCCCGGGAGGAGGCCCCAGAGGCAGCCGGGGTGGCGGCCGGGGGCGCGGCCGGCCCCGACCCTGGCCCCGCGGCGCCCCCCGACGGCCGGGACGAAACCCTGCGCCTGCTGGACCAGCTGCTGGCCGAGTCGGCGGCCTGGGGCTCGGGGGAGCCGGCCCCACGGGGCCCGGCGCGGCCCCGACCCGCCGCCGGCGCGGGGAGCCGGGTGAGTGTCGCCGCGCCGAGTGCGCCCTGCGCCCCCCGCCTACCGCTCTCCCCTGCTGCGCCTTCACAGGCAGGCGGCGCGCGTCCGCCCACCGCCTCCGGCCCCCGCCGCGCTCCCTCGGCCCGCCTGCGCGGTTCACCCGCCCTCTCGCCGTCCCCGCACCCCAACCCCTGCCTCCTAACACCGCTCTGATTTTCTCCCCGTCTGCCTCCTCTGAGTGATGGTTTCACCGCCTCCATCTGGGGGTGACAGGGCCGGGAGCAGCCCTGAAGAGCAGGGGGACCGCCATCCCACGGCTGAGTGCCCCTCCCGGGCTTGTATCTGGCCAGAGCGCGCCTTTCTTCCCTCTGGGAGCTGCGTGACCGCCTGCTAAGCGCAGCATCCCGGGCGCCTCCCGCTGGCGGCCCTGGGGACACTGGCGGAGGAGGTGCTAAGCGGCGGAACCGGTAGCCAAACAGTGGTTCACGGATGCCCCGCGTGTCAGACCCCCCAGGACCTTTGCCTCGGCGGCCAAGCCGCGCGCGCACTGCTCGCTGTTTTTAAGGTGCCGCGGAGCCTCCTCTTGGCTTCCCTGTTCTCTCTTCCAGAACACTTGTAACAACAGCCCTGCTGCTTTAGGAAAACAGCACCACGAGCGCTCTGGTTTGGCAGCAGCCTGCACTCCAGCAGAGCAGAAGGGACGGGATCTTTAACAGCAGCTCCTGTGCTTGAGGAGGAAGCCGGGGCAGCGCCCCTGCTGGACTCCCACCGCAGGCGCTGCCCGACCGCGGGGGACCGGAGGGCCAGGCTTCGGGCTGCCACCCGCAGCAGGATCTCGGAAAATGCGGAGTGAGGGAGGGGAGGCCTGGCCCAACCTGGACGGAGCGGGACTTCCCCCTCCTCCGGCCAGCCGGCCCCGCTGCCCTCCCAAAGCGAGCTGCAGTTAAGCAGACTGAATTATATAACAGGATTCCATTAAGGCTACATCAGCCCTCCGTTATGTAACACGAAAAATGAACAAACAGAAGAGAGATTTGGGGAGTTCTGAGATGGCATGGAAACAATATTTTTAGAGTTCAGTGTTCAAGTGCTTTGGAAACTTCAGATGTGAAAATGAGAAAATGGCCCTGGCTGGGCGGCTCTGTTGGTTGGAGTGTCGTCCTGTGCCCCAAAAGGTTGCAGGTTCGATCTCCAGGCAGGGTGTGTTTGGGAGGCAACCGATTCATGTTTCTCTCTCTCACTCTCCCTCCTTCCTTCCCTCCCTACCTCTTTCTCTAAAAATAAACAAACATATCCTCTTTTAAGGTGAGGATTAAAAGAAAATGAGAAAATGAGTGTTCCCCCAATCACTGCGTGCCCTAGAGGCCTGGGTGCATGTGGGGCGTCTTCCTCTTCCTTGCAGTCACCTCTCCGGCATCGCCTGAGCCCCTGCTGTGTGCCAGGCACCACCGGAGGCACTGGAGATGAACAGAGAGGGCGCGCTGTCTTTGTCCTAAAGGAGTCCACAGGGTGGCGGGGTGGGGGCAGATTGGCAGACAGACTGCGGGATGCAGGGTGGTCCAGGACCTGAACAGAGTCTGCGGGAGGAGCAGCCAAGCCCAGAAGTCCGGACGGCGTTCCAGGATAGCACTTGACCTGAACCTGGAAACGTCCGTGGCATTAGCTGGGCAAACAAGCAGAGAAGAGCATCGGGGCCAAGAGAACCCCGTATGCACAGGCGATGGCGACCTGGCGGCAGGGGACACCTAGGTCGATGCGGACGTCAGTGCTGTCCACCATTGGCCGGAGGAAGCCAGTGGTGCCGGGGCTGGAAGCAGAGTGGCCCGGGGCCTTGCCAGACTCCAGGCCTCCAAGACTGCTGCGGAGCTGGGGTACGGGGAGGTGTGGAAGTGGAGCAGATGACATGGCTGCGGCGTGCACCGCCTGGAGAGATGCCCGCGGACCCCTGGCCGGGGCCCGACTTCCCACAGGGCTGGTCTCGGTGGGGAGGGTCCCAGTGCTTTGGCCAGGATGGGGGTTCTCCCACACCTGAGTACCAGGCGCTCGTCACCCCTGAGGAGGGCACCCCTGGCCCAAGGCCACCGTTCAGGTTCTCACTGGACTTTGCCCAGCAGCCATGCCCTTTTCCGTTTCCGGACACTTGTAGAGTCACAGGCTGCTGTCCCAGGGGATCTTAGTGACCACCCAGGGCTGCCTTCTCACACTGGAGGCCTTTGGGCCTGGCAGGGCAGCTGCCCAAGGCGCCCCCCAGCAGGACCAGGAGCCATGCCAGGTCACCTGCTTGGGTGAGCCCAGACCTGGGTCAGGACACCCAGGGTGGGGACATGCTGTCCGGCGAACTGCTCAGTAAGTGTCGATTGACCGGAGGTTTGGAAGAATTACATGCAACTGCATGTGAATGTGCTTTATAAAGTGTAAGACTGTAGAAATGTAATAGATCATTCTTTTCCCTCAACCCACCTATTTCAGCTCCTCTGGGTCTCCCTGACCTTCTTGCTCTCTGGAAACACTTTCCTGAAGGCTTTGTGATGGGAGGTGGAGGACCTCGCACTGGCGGTCTCAGAGTCAGAGCCTCCTTTAGAAAAAGTCCTTTGTCCCTTTAGCCACGTAGAACAGCTCTCAGAGCGACGTCCTGCTGGGCGCGCAGCTTCTGCGGCCGCAGCTTAAGCGCGGAGGGCAGCGCCCTCTGGTGGCGAGAGGACTGACCCGATCGGCCAAAGACAACCTGGCGAAGCTGGCAGGTGAGACCCGGAACCCTGTTCCTTGCTGTGTGTGGGCTTCGGAGAAGGAAACCACGGACCCAGGCCCCGTGGCTGGGTCTCAGGACCCGGCTGCTGAGTGAAGGAAGCCAGGCAAGGAAGAGTGCCCGCCGTGTTCCAGTACCCCGGCTTCTGGAGGGTGCCCGCCAATGAAAAGCAGACCTGTGGCAGCCTGCAAGGGGGAGGGCGGAGGGACGGAGCGCGGAGTCGCCGAAGGACCCGTTTAGGATCTCGGCCGCGGCGATGGGCTAACTGGCACATCTACACGGCAGGACCCACACTGTATCCTTCAAACACCTGCGGCTTGTTCCGTGATTATATTTGTGTGCACGCGCGGGAAGGGGCAAAAGGAGGTTTACAGTTGATAGTATACGACACACGAGTTAATTCCTGTATTATTTTGTATATGAACAACTGTCAGCCTGCTTTTGCCCCACTCTGTATATGCATTTAAAGCTGTTAAGAACTAAGGGGAGCCTGGCCAGGTAGCTCAGTTGGAGCGTAGTCCGGATATGCCAGGGCTGCAAGTTCAGCCCCAGTCGGGGCACAGGAAGGAATCAACCAGTGAATGTGTAAGTAAGGGAACAGTAAAACGCGTGCTCGCTCACTCTCTCTAAAATCAATACAAAATTTTAAAAAGGGGCTAAGGGGATAACCTTATTTAGAAGCAGAATGCATTTTGCTAAGTAAGATGTGTAGTGGATTTTCTAAAAATTGTTGATATTTTACTATTCTAACAAAAACCCTACTTGTAAGAGCCTGTAAGAGATCATCGTGCTCAACCCCCCCCCCACCCCCCGCTGTGTTTTCTGCGTCTTGTCCAGCTGCGCTGTCGATCCTCAGAGCCGCTGCAGGATCTCCCGCGCGAACTCGTCCCCCCTGGCCCAGCCTCTCAGGCCCCGGAGCTCAGTCTGGTTCCCAGGGCTTCCGCGCAGGCCCCGCCCCGCTGGGCGCGCCGAGGCAGGCGGTCAGCTGGTTGGCGGGGGAACCTGGCGCCGGCCCCAGGCCTGGCGCCGCCGCCAGGGGCTGCTGTGTCTCTGCCTTTCGCCTGCGCTCCCCTCGCCGCTGCATCTCGCTGCCTGCCCGGGAGAGCATCCCGCCCATTTCCCATCAGAGAAAGTCAAGTTCAAGGCGTGAACAAATTGATGAGAGAAAGGACCACACATTCAAGTCGCAGGCACAGACAACAAGGGAAGTACTAGAGAGAGAGCATGACCTCCTGTTCAAAGGTGGCCTTCGGGTGTGCCGGTCTTGGGTGTGACAGCCGCAGGTGAGCCTGCCTGGCCAGGTGGGCAGAGCAGCAGGGGAAGTGGAGCCCGGGCCATGTGCGCAGATTTTTGGTCCCAGTCTTGTGCTCTTTTACCCCATTGCCCTCCTGGTGGGAGAAACTGTATCTAACAACCTTTATGAGATCTGGTGATGAAAGCAAAAGCCACCCCAGGTGACAGCAAAAAGTGGTTCCAGCAGAAACTGACGGGGGGGAACTGGGGCCCCTATACGATGACTTCATTAAAAGTAGCTGAAGGGCGGCTGGGTAGAAGGATCGCTTTTCTTCCCTGTGGCCCCTGAGAACGTAACCAGGCCCAGCAAGGACGGCTGCAGGGAGGCAGGGGGTGTTGGTGGAGGAGAGGACTCGCAGAGGTGCCCCAGGGACTGAAGCACGTGCCATGTGCACCCATGTAGACTCCCATACACTCACGATCACAGGCGCGCTCGTCACAACAGCCACCAGGTGGAGGCAACCCAAGTGTCCATCCACCGACGGATGGAGAAACAAAACGAGTAAACAAAATGAATGGAGAAAATACGGTACAATGTCAGGGAGCTGTCACCTCGCACTGGTCAGAGGGGCTGTCGTCAGTAAATCAAACAGTATTGGTGAGGATGTGGAGAAAAGGGAGCCCTCGTGCACGGTTGGCGGGCCTGCAGGTTGGGGTGGCCACGGTGGAGAACAGTGTGGAGGTTCCTCGAAAAATTAAAAAAGGAACTGCCTTTTGACGCAGTGCTGCCATTTCTGGGAATGTATCCGAAGAAACACAAAACACTAGTTTGAAAGAATATACGCACCTCTGTGTTCACCACAGCGTCACTTACAGTAGCCGAGCTGTGGAAGCAGCCCGAATGCCCATTAACGGACAAGTGGGTAAAAAAGCAGTGGTACATATATACAATGGAATATTATTCAGCCATAAAATAGAACAAAATCTTACTATTGGCGACAGTGTGGATGGACCTACAGGGTATTTTGCTAAGTGAAGTAAGTCAAAGACAAACACTGTATGATTTCTCTTACGAGTGGAATCTAAGGAACAATATAAACAAAACATAAACAGACTCATTGACACAGAACAAACTCGTGGTTGCCAGAGTTGGGGGGGTTTGGGGGGCTGAAAAAGCCAAAGCGATTGAGAAGTACAGATTGGTAGCTACAAGGTAGTCACGGGGATGTAAGTACAGCATAGGAAATACAACCAACAATATTGTGATAACCATGTACGGTGCCAGGTGGGCACTGGAAATACCAGGAGGACACTTTGTAAAGTATATGATGGTCTAACTGCTCTGCTGTGCACCTGGAACTAGTGCAAAATAATATTGAATGTAAATGGTAATTGAAAAAAATGTAAATAAATTTAAAAAAAAAAAATGTGGCACAGTTGTCCCTCGGTATCCACAGGGGACTGGTTTCAGGACCCACGTGGGCACCAAATCTTCAGATGCTCAAGTCACACAGTTAAAACACGTAGGATTTGCATATAACCTACACACAGCTTCCCATATACTTGAAATCATCTTTAGATACTTGCTACAATGTAAATGTTGTGTAAGTAGTTGTTATACTACATTGTTTAGGGAACAGTGACAAGAAAAAAGTCTGTACGTGTTCAGTAGAGACACAACCATTGTAGGCCTAATTACATAGTGCACATTAGCAACAACGTTATTATTTTTTCCTTACGATTTTCGACTCCCAGTTGGTTGAATCTGGGTGCAGAACCTGTGGGTGCAGAACCCGCGGATACGGAGGGCTGAGTGCACATACATACACACAGTGGAATGTTATCGGGTCCTGGTTGAAGGGGGTGGCCGCGCCTGTCCACAGAAAGCCAGAGTATTCGGAGGCTCACCATCAGTAACCTTTGATGCCTCTTCCTTTTGTCCTTCTCAAGGTGCCCCCAAAACAGAGTGCTGAAGACCACCGCCCAGAGGGCAGCAGCAGCTCTGAGTGAGTACCGGAACCCTGCCCCCTGTCGGGTGCCCCAGGCGCTTCTGTAGGCTCCCAAAGCCCTGCCGGCCTCCCCTCCGCTCCCAGCGCTTTTCCAAAGCAGCTCCCTCTTTAAAGGCACAGCCTTCCCTCTCGGAGGCAGGCCCCAGCCCTGGGGAGCGCACAGGCCTTCCTGGCTCCCCGCGGCCTTGACCTCCCTTCTGGATAAGGCCCCTGGCCCTGATCACATCCCCCTCTGATCCCGCAGGAGAAGCCTCGTGGGCCTTCCAGAGTTTACTGCCAAGACAGGTTCCAGGTGGGCCCCTCTAATCCCATGACAGTCTTATCAGAAAACATATTTCAAAGCCCTGGGCAGGGTCCGCTGAGGACCCCAGGCGGAGACATCAGGCCTTCTGCAGCGCCCTGAGCCAGCTGAGAGGTTTCCAGGATACCAGGGCAGCCAGGGCAAGGCTCAGCCTGCGGGGTGACAGGCTGGGATGACCTTGCGGGCCTGGCCCGCTCCTGTGTTGTTCTCGCCGCTCATGGGGGCACAGGTACCGCCCCTCATCACTGGGGTGCTGCCAATCGTGGCGCTCAATATCGTGGATGTGGACAGTTGTGCGAATTCCGATTCCACAGCTCTTTTTATTACCAATTCCAAATGGTTTCCGGGCAAGAACTTTGCCTGGCTCCATCACTTAGCAAACCTTTGCGGGGCCCTGCCGCACAGAGAGAGATCTCTGGGGCAGCGGGGCGGGGGTAGCCCGGGGCTCTGCGAGGAGCTGGTGTGGAAATGGTCAACAGGACAAGTAGGAGATCTCTTCCTGGAAGAAGGAGGAGGGAGGGAGCGCCCTCTGCTGGGGAACCAGGGAAGCAGGCGTGCATGCAGCCGGTGGCGTCCAGCGCAGGGTCCGTGGGAGGGAATGGAAGGAGGGACGTTTTGAAATGTGAGGAGGGCCTTGCCTGCCACGTAGAAACCCTGGCCATTGCTGCCGAGTAGAAGGCTCTGGGCTCTGGGACACCGCTGTGACAGCCGAGGGTGACGCAGCGAGAATGCCTACGCGGTGGGCTCTGACCCCTCCCACCGGCAGCTGTGGTCAAGAGCCTTACTCAGCACAGTGGCGTGGCAGTCCCGTCCTCACCGGTTATACAAAGGCCCCCAGCTCCGCCTTGCCGGCCAGGTGCCCCTGTGCCTGTGGGAAGTCATTTCTCCCCGGAGAGACTTTCTTCCCTGCTGGGAGGTCCCAGGCCCAGAACGGGCCCCTGGGAAGCCTGCAGGGCCGCTGGCTTCCTGCTCCATCCCCTGTCCCAGAGACCCAGCTTGGCCCAGAGACCCTTTTGCCCTTGAGGGTCTGGCAGGTGCCCACCCCCTTTCTGAATGCTCGCCCCTGGCAGTCTCCAGTGAGCCCCGAGGCTGGTGGGGGCGGGGGGGGCCGGGGGGACAGGGAGTAACATTGGCAGGGCCCTGACTGTCCCAGGAGCTTCACTGCGGCCTTTCTGTCCAGTGGTTCCCCGCGCCAGGCTCCGCGCCTGACTCTCCGCATTCAGCGTCCTATGTCACCCGCAGGGCGGTTTGTGGAGAGGCCCCATCCTGTCCCCAGCAGCAGCGCCTCTGACACACACCTTCCCCCTCCACCCCAACCCCCAGAGGCAAAGGTGCAGGCAGGCAGTCGAGCAAATGGCGCGGCGCCACAGCGCAGGCCTGGGCAAGAGTCAGTGGTCTGTGCTGTCCATATGTGATCTCATTTTTGCCCCAGAAGGAACCCATGCATACAGCTCCATTTTAGAGAAAAGAATTGTGGCTGAGCTAGTAAGCATCGGGGGCCAGATTTGAACTGGGCCCTCGCTGCCTCGGGGCCCTCGCTCTCAGATGCTGCAGGCGCCCTGGCCGGCAGGGCCTGGGCAGAGAAGGCTGGAATGAAGCCTGAGAGCGGGCAGAGGCCTGCCCATGCAAGAGACAAGGAAGGTGTCCCCAGGGCAGAGGCTTCTTTGGTGTCGGTTAGAGTATGATCGGAATCCTGTACAGGGGCCATTGCCGCTGTCCAGGGCAGATACCAAGTTTGAAGGCGACGTCTTACCTCCTGACGCCCCCATCTGTGTTTCTGGCTCGCAGGGCCACAGGCAGCAGCCACAAGAGGCCAGAGGGGCAGCCGGCTGTCCTGTACGACTGCTCCGAGGAGGAGCTGATGGCCAGCATCGAGCAGGAGTGCTGTCGCTGAGGCGCCCGCCCGCCGCCGCCCGCCTGCCGGCCTCGAGCAGCTGGGTGGGAGTGCGCATCCCTCGGCCCCGCCTGGGCTCCAGCTGGAGCCGAGCCACTGCCAACGTGCAGTTACGCACGGATCCTTCACACCGGCCTTCTCCAGCCCACATTCAGACGGTCCCGAGCACGGCCAGCTGCTGGCCGTCAGGCCTGCTGGCAAGAGGTGGCTTAGCCGTGCGGGCCCAGGCCAGAAGGACGCACAGGTGCTGCCCCCCAGGTGTGTGGGTGGGTGATCCCGACACCCCCCCTCTCCTCAGGCTCGGGAGGCCTGTCTATGAGGCTCCACTGGAGCCCGAACACATCCCTTTCCCGTCCCCCACTCTCCGCCTGGGCTGGGGAATGCCCCTTGGCTGACTGGCTCCTGCCGAGCGCCTTGGGGCCCCTCACGTCCCATGGCGCTTCAGGATGGTTCCGCTGCAAGGCTGCGCCCAGGAGGCGTGCCCTGCCTGGCCGCGGGACGCAGGTGAATCTCCTGGAGATGTTCTCCAAACACAGGTTCAATTCTGTGGTCTGCGGGGGCCTCGGAGCCTGTATTTCTAATCGCTCCCAGGTGAGTCGCCAGCTGCTGGCTCCCAGCCACCCCTAAGCAGCAAGGACTGAGTGTGACCTTTGGACCCCGGTACTGGAGGCTGCTTGGAGCCTCAGCCTACCCAGTGCCCCAGCGACAGCCCGTGCCTGATTCTCGCTCTTGTGCTAATTAGCAGTCTCCTCCCCATCTGGGCCTCAGTTTCCCTCCCTGGAAAGCAAGTCCTGGTGGCTCTGCCCTGCTCTGACGACCTGGGATCACTCAGCCCCCTTGCCCTCCCTTGTGCCTACCCCACGGGGCAGCGGTCTGCTCCCCTGCTTGAGGGTGCTTAGCTGCCCCACCTCAAAGGGTGTTCAGGGCCCCCTGCCCTCACCTGACCAGTGCCCGGTGGAAGGCAGACAGTCACAGCAGTGAGACAGAGGAGCCTGAGAGCGGTCCCAGCTGACACACATAAAAGCCGACTGGCTCAGGGTGCCCGCTAGGCAGAGGCAGCACCAGGAGGCCGCAGCCTGACCAGGAGGCGGGACTTGCGCGGTAGCCCAGGTGCGGCTGCGTGGGGAGGTGCAGGGAGAGGACTGGCCTGGAGGTTGGGAGACGCCCCCCTGGAGCAGCCGGCGAGGGCTTCAGCATAGGGGGCACATGGAGGCGGCGGCAGTGTGTGCCAAAGCCAGGATGGGCCCCAGCCTGTCTCGTGTTTGCCACTGACACAGAGGCCCCCCTGGTGTCGCCTGCAAAGGGCAAGAGCATCTCGGAACCCGACACAGGCCCCTCGGCGCCAGCCCCAGACCCACAGGCCTGCTGCCGCCAGGGGTGTTGCCATGAACTTCCCTCATCTGACCAGAGCGCCTTTGATCCGACGTTCCACAGCTGGGAGATTTTGTTCTGCAAAGTCGGTATGGAGCCATGGAGCCCCGGAAGGGTTGGCTCAGGAGCCCCCCAACCCAGAAAAAAACGAGAGCTGCTTCTCACCCAAGCACAAACCCTTTCTTTTCATGTAAGAATTAAAGCTATCACTATTCTCGTAATACAAATGCTGCTTTTAAAAGAAGTTAAAATTTTATTTCTCACAACCAGACAGATTAGGCCTTGAATTTAATGATATAAATGTTTACAATTGTACATCCTTATTTTGTTCAAACGGAACATGTGCAGCTGATTTTCCAAGAGAAAGATGATATCTCTGCATTTGCCAGTGAAAACCTCATAAAACCCTCAATGGGAAAAAAGTGCTAAGAACAAAAATCCCTTCTAGTTACAGCCTCTGTCAACATCAAGGCGAATACACTTCATCAAAGCTAAGAAGTCACAGCAGTTGTTCTCAGGCCATTCCTTTTTTATTTTTTTTATTCCTTGACCGTGCCTTCTGAGCAGCCACCAGCCAGAGGAAGCCCCGTGTTCCCGCCCGGTTCTCTGAGGGCGCTGAGTGCAGGGGCGGGCCCAGGGGGCGCTGCGCGCGCGCGCAGGAACCGCGCGGACACCCGCCGTGTGCCGGGTGTGCCGGCGCGGCCCCGGCCTTCTCTCCGCCGCTGGGTGTTGCTTCGGAGCCTTCCGCTCCGGCGCTGAATGTGGGATCTGTGCATGGACGGGGAGGGGCGTGGCTGGAACAGAGGCAAAGAGAAAACGTCTCCAAGTCAAGAGTGATGACAACCCGGGTTACTGCCCGATGTGGAAGCACCACCCACGTGTCTCCTGGTTTCTGCGCTGTGCGAGTTCCCGAGAGTTTAGCAAACACGCTCCGCCCGGGCTCTGAGTCGCGCTGGGTCGGTTCCCTTGGGGAAGAGGCAGAGCCACCGTTCTTGCTCCCTTCCTCTTCTCAGGCCCCTTCTCCTGGCCAGTTCTGGACCCCTGCTCCTCACAGGGAGATGAGCTTTTCTAAGATACCCGCCTTTGACGTCCCAAAGCCTTAGTGCCCCGGCCCCTGGCTGCCACCCTGGCTGTGCTGAGACCATGGGTGCATGTCCCTGGGGAGTGTCTGTTCAGCGCTCCCTCGTCCGCGTTCCCTGAGCCCCTGCTGCCCTGCGCCTGGCCCCCTGCTAGATGCCAGGTGTGTGCATAGCAGATCTGGTTCCCACTAGTGAGCACCCTACCTGGAGAAGGTAAGGGCTGCCAGAGAGTTGAGGCCAAAGCCCCCCAAGGCCTAAGCTCTGTGGGTATGAGGTGGGGTTCTTCTGTTTGGCTCTAACGAGCCAGGAGAAAGCCTACTTGGTGGCCCCTGAGGGGCTGAGTCCTGGCTGGAACTCTGAAGGTCGGTGCCCCCTGCAGGGAGAAGCAAGGAACAACAAGACTGTGGTGCCGCCCACACCCCAGGGACAAATCTGACCTCAACAGGTGTGTGCGGCTTGACTTCCTGGTGCCAGGCAGTCCATTAGTGTCCAGAGGTGGGCAGGAAAGGCCACCTCTTCTGTGGGGTGTGGACCCTGGAAGTGACATTTGACGTGTCTTCCTGTGGAGCTCGTGCCAGGGGGTGTGTCTACACCTCAGACCAAGAGAGCACAGGGCTGTCCTCTGAGATCCAGGGCTCCCCCGAGGTCAGGGGCCAAGGGGCAGCTGTCCACAGTGGTGCCACTTAGCAGCAAGAGTCATCGCGGTGTCGGCTGGGACCTCACGGTCCTTCCCCGGGGCGGACAGTTGCAGAAACTCTCACACAGGCTAAGTCAGCTCCGAGAGGCTTCTGGCAACTTGTCAGAAGGGGAGAAACTGCAGGAGGAGGGGCTGACCTTCCTGCTCACTTGGCAGGAAAGGGTTTGAGTGGAAAATAAAAATTATCAGAACTTAGTAGTACCTAGTGTTAGCGAAGCACAGGTTATAGCAACCTTGTTTTTAAAAAACGTAGGCAACTACGACTTGAAGAGGGCTCGCGCTGTTCCAGGCCGTGGAGGTGAGAGATCAGGGGCCGCCGGAATGAGCTGCGAGCAGAGGAAGCGTGGTCAAGGGGCAGGTCGTGCTGCCTGTGGTTCTGCAGGCCTGCCCCTCCACTCACTGGACGAGGACGAGGACATGGGGCTGGAAGCGGCCAGGCTCCTCCACAGCAGGGGTGGGGGGAGGCGCACTGTCGCGAGGGCCCCAGGGAAGGCGGGAGGCCAGGTTCCGGTCTGGGCCTCGCTGTCCTGTGTGTGATCTGGGGGTCTCAGCTTCTCCATGTGTTCAGGGAGCACAGAGGCCTGTTCTTCCTACAGCCCACAGTCACTGTCAGGCTGCAACCACAGGTGGCCGGCTGGGAGCTCTGTCACTGCAAGGCCCCTGTAAGAGTTGGGGGCCTGGCCATGGGGAGGCGAGGCTCTGTTGGGCCCCTCCCTTAGGTAGGAGAGCTTGTCTGTCCCACAGGAGGCCTGCTGGCCCTGGGGCTTGGGATTCGTTCTGCCAAGAAGCACAACTCTCCTTTGGGACGCCCCCCCGCCCCAAGAGTACAAATGAAGACTCCAGGCTTTGGGCCGCGTCCCACTTGCTAGCAGGAATTCTGCATTTTTCTGATGGTCTCTGCATCAGAGGTATTTCCAGGAGTTCTGGTCACCTGTCCAGGGAGCTGATGCTCACTTGCGCCCCCTTGAGGCCAGCCACAAGCCTGAAGGCCTGTGAGTGAACTCCATGGCTTCCAGGGCCCCTGCAGCCACCAAGGCCAAGTTCCCAGGGCTTTTGGGGTCTGGGGGCATGTGTGTGTGGACATAACTGAGCTCCTCTCCGTGGCACTTTAGTAGGGCTGTCCCCCAGCAAAACCTCCTGGGCACCTCATGTCACTGCTGTTTGAATCCCCACAGGCAGAGCCACCACCCCGGGTTCAAACCCTGAGCCAGGCGGTTGGGCGTGAGGTCAGCGACCGGTGCACAGTCCCAGATCCAACCAGCCGTCCCGTCCCGCTGTGTGCACCTCTGTGCCGGAAACTGAGGCAGGCACGTTACACCTGCTGTCTCCACAGTCCTCATTTTATAAGAAAGGGAACAAAGTTTCATCTGGATGGATGGATGGATGGATGCTTGGGTTCGTGGGTGGGGGTAGATGGGATATGATCCCTGTCGTGGGGACTTCATATTTTAGCAGGTGTGGGTTAGACTCGCGATAAAGTCCGATACCATTTGGTGAGTTCTCAGGAGTGGTCAGAACCTGCAGTGGTGAAGGAGTCCAGAGCAGGGGCCCCCGGAAGGCTCCCCAGAAGCCGCCTGCAGAGCTGGGTGAGAGCCGAGGGGGGCGCTCGCGCCCTCGGCTGCTGCTGCTTTGTGCTGCCATCTCCTCTGGGGTGGGCACCTCCTCCCCAGCACTTGGCCTGTGGCATCGTCTCTTCTTTCATCATCTACATTTCGGCAAGTTTGTCTGCTGGGCTCAGCCAGGGCGTGCTGGGGAGAGGGCGCCAACCTCAGGGTCAGCTCAGGGCGTCCTGGGGGTCACCAGGCCTCTCGGGGAGCGGTGAGAGGCCTTTGGGAACGAGCCCCCCGACTCAGAGGGGACCAAGCATGTCTCTCCCCCCGAGGTAAGAGTCCTTCCTTCCTTGTTGCCTGGGCTTTCTCCCAGCGTGGACCCCGCCTGTTAAAAAAGAGTGTCTCAAGTTCCTCATCTCAAAAGTCCCCACACAGAGGCAGGTTGAAAGTGAAGCAACAGTGGTGTTAGAGCGGGAAAGTGGACCCTTGGTGACAACGGAGAGAAGACAGCAGGCACAGTCACAAGCTGGAAACAGAGTCGTGGCCGCTACCCAGAGGCAAAGGAGTAGGGGTTGGAGCTGGAGAGGCCCGCAAGTAGCTGAATGCGAAGCCGCTTATGGTCACTGGTCCCTCCCCACACGCCTGCACATGTACGCGCACACACAGGGCGGTTTACGGCCCCTCCCCGACGCGCTGGCATGTGCACGCACACATAGGGTCAGGAGCAGCGTGGCCCACGAATCAGCGTGTGTACCTTTTCACCACCACAGCCCAGATGGGTGGCTTTGGCAGGCAGGCAGTCAACAGGGTTGCGTGAATGTCAAGTGAGGAAGCCAGGGTGACGTTTACACTTGAACTTGCTGTTCTTTCTAAAGACAGTGGGGTTCCCCTGGCCGGCATGGCTAAGAAGGTTGGAGTGTCATCCCATGCACCAAGAGGCTGGGGGTTTGATTCCCCGTCAGGACACATACCTAGGTTTCCAGTTTAGTCCCCGGTTCGGGTGGGTACAAGAGGCAACCTGTGGGTGTCTCCCTCCCTCTCCATACTTTGCTCTCTCTTAAACCAATAAACATATTTAAAAAATTTTAAAGACAACGGGGTCAACTGTGAGAAAATCAAGCGTGGGGAGATGAGGAGCTTGGCTGTTTTGGACAAATAAGAGGACGGAGAACTGAATGCACGTCACTGCAGCTCCTTCCAAGAGATGTGGATGCTAAGTTCCAGCCTGGGTGGGTTCCAGAGAGAATGTTGCCCAGGAGCAGGGGCGAAGCCTGGGCCGGGGGCGCAGGGCGCAAGGCTTCCTCCCATTCTGCCTCTGGGTTCAGGAAGAGGGACACGGGGTCACCAGCGCCCACGGCCCTGTTCCGCTGGGACGAGACCCAGCACCGGACTGGCCAACGCAGAAGCTGCCTCTTCCCACGATTCCTTTAGGAAGGATGTTCCCGGAATCGAAAGGGTGCCCTCAGAGCAGAACAGACCCAGAAAGTAAAGAGGAGGGCCAGGCCGGGCCGACCGTCAGTGGATCTTGTAGGCGACTTTCTGAGAAGCCGCTGAGCACACTGGTGCAGTGAAACGACACAGGACGAAGTTCAGTTTGCAAATCAAAGACGTTTTATGTGATTCAAAGAAAAAAGTTACAGTACACATGTCCGTTTAAATAATAAGTCACAGGGCTGTTACATAGACCATAATTCCAAAACATTTTAAACTTTATTACTAAAACTATTAAAAAGGCTCTAAGTCAACAGAGATCAAGCGCAATTGCTCAGGAAGTAAAGTGCACTGAGGGCCCTGCGGCAGGAGCCCCGCCCCAGCGCCCGGGCCCCGCCACCTGCTCTGTGTCTGTTCTGCGTCCTCGCAGAACGAGCCTCGGGGCCCTGGGCCTCAGGACAGAGTTCTCCGGACAACACTGGTTCCCAACTTGCAGCTTTCAGTGGGCAAAGAGAAGGCAAAAAAAAAAAAAAATTGTTTACAGAAGGCATTGCTAAATCTTATCAGGAAATGGAAGTGTACATCAAAGCCACTTTTCACATATCTGTTCTTCAGAAACGCTGCTCAGAGAGTGAAATGCAGGGCGACCAGCCACCCAGTACTCAGAGGCCGTGTGTTACCCACCGCGTTAACGGGACTAACATTGTTGTGTAACCAAGAGCAATACCCTGATCTAAATGGCACGCACACAGAAATGTCTATGCTGCTTTACGACCAGAGCGGGAGAGAAGGGAAAGGGTGGCCGAGGAAATGCAAGCTGCGTTATGTCTAATTATTTATTAGTAATTCCCCTGTCCTGGGTCTCGCGACCAGGAGGAATGCTAAACTAAGCAAGTGTCCACAACACGGGCAGCCTCCTAAACACACAGCTGGCACTTAAAGACCTGCATGTGGTGACTGACTTTTAGTAAAAGGCAACTTACCCGGCATCAACTAACAACTGACAAACGACCAGGCGAGGGGCATCAGACTTGAAAGACCTGAACACACAACCTAGTTACACTTACTCGCCATTTTACTTTGCCATCATTTTAATAAAGGCAAATGCCAGAAACTTAAGAGGCTGAGACAAAACCTAAACACATGTACACAGCGCAATGAAAACCACCTCTGTGTTCCTGCCTTGCATTCTGTGGCCTGGGTTCCCAGCGCCGCCAGAGGAAGGCGGTCCCAGCAGCTCCGGCCAGCAGGGTATAGCCGCTGCGGAGCGAGGACCTGTGCTCACCCAGCTTCCAAGCAGCGCCCGCTGTTTTCTGTCAGTGTGCAGAACACCCCCATTCCAAGTAGTTCTGCTTGATCAAAACCACGTCCTTCAAACTTGAATGAAGGGGCCGCTGGGTAGGATGACTGCCATTCAGCATAACTTGCACTTCCTCCCGCTGTTGACAGATAAAGGAAGCAGAGCGCTGGGCCACCTCCATCTGTGTGCAAAGTGCAAAGCTGTTCTTGGGCGGGAAGTTCCTCCAACCAATAAAGCTGTGCTTTCTTCTTCTCTAAGAAGTTGCTGCTCCACCTACCAAATACTGCGGATAAGGCCACAAGACAAGGAGTCAACTAACAATTGACAAAGCAGCTGGGCTGGCGGCTGAGGGTCCCTCTATTTTTGGTGTCTGAGGCACAAACAGGAAACGGGCGGACGGTGTGCCTGCCGCGAGCAGAGGGCACTCCGGGCCTGGAGACGCGCCCTGCTCGCAGTGGGTCTGCCTGTCGCACGTTTTTAAGCCAACCTCTGGGTGCAGTCTCCGCCAGTCACATCATGGACACGGGTGACTAGTTCTGCTTAACCAAAATTTTAATTCCTCAGGCCACAGCTGTAAAGGACTGGCTGCCTGGAATATTCCTTGGAAATGTGGTGAAGAAGCTGACTGTGAAGTCCCCCCTCTTCCTTGTCTTTTAGGGACCCCTATCGGCCAGTTCTGATTCGAAAAAACCTTTAGAGCTAAAAGGCCTGATTACAAATCTGTGATTTTTTTTTTTTTTTTGGCTGAAGGATGGGCCACAGTTACTAAAAAGTAGGATTATTATAAAAACATGCTTAAACATTGAAAAGATGACTGTAAAATCATCTATCTAGAAATTGGTGATCTGAGTACCAATAATTTAAATATTTTCATAGAAAACAGTATAAAGTTATACCCTGTCTCAATTCTACAAAATGTGAATAGAAAGGCAGTAAAAATCCAGACCTCGTAAATCTGATTGCCACTGTGCTTGCATGAATGCTGGTGACTTAGATGGTCAAACTGTCCTCCATTGCCTTCGACTACTCCAGAGACGGGCCAGGATCTCAACCAAACCACAGTCAACACACTTTCATCAGAACCAGCCCCTGCTTCTCCTGAGCTCCCCAGACAATGATTTTAGGAGAGAAAACCATTGGTCCTTTCCTGAAAAGTCTTTAAAATTCCCACGGGCGACTCCAGCCACCCAGTCAGGCAGAGACTGGCCTGCTCGCCGCCGGCGGGTCCCGGCTCCTCCGCTGAGGCCGTGCCGCTCCGTTTGCCCGCCGCGCCTGCTAGCCCGGGGTCTTCTTGGTGGTCACGTGGCGCCGGGCGTGCTTGGTCAGGTGGTCGCTGCGCATGAAGCGCCGCGCACACACCGGGCATACGAACTTCTTCTCCCCGGTGTGCGTTCTGCGGTGCCGGGACAGTTCGTCTGAACGAGCAAACTTTTTGTCACAGCCGTCCCAGCTACAGCTGAAAGGCTTCTCTCCTGACCATGAGAAAAGACAGTGAAGACAACATAAATGCTCGGCTCCTGTTGGACAGGTTAACCCGTGTCAGTTTTAAATTTTGTTCATCAAAATTTAGGACAAGACTAATATCCTGTTTTTCTGACATCAAGTTATTCAGAAGTCAAGAAATCCTCCAAGATCCATTCGTCCTGCCGTACCTGAAGTGTGATATGTAATGGTACGTAATGAGATGTAAGATGTAATGTTTATCTTTCAAAAGATAAACGTAGCTTTAAATAAAAATAAATCTTGCAGTAGAGGGAATATTCTTGAAAAGCATAACTACTTCTTTCTCAAGAAGCTGTGCATCTAAAGAACATCCCCGCCAGGACCTGTGAGACTTCTCGGAATCATCAGCTCCACCTTCAGTTTGTTACTCCCCCGGCAGGGGGCCCCACCCAGGTCTCCCCGGAGCCAGAGGTGAGCCCCGAGCCTAGGTCCGCAGGTCGGGCGCAGCCCTGCCCCAACAGCAGGATGGGCTCCGCCCGGCCCCCTGAAGCCCGGCCACCCCTCCTCAGGGCCAGGGCGTAAGTCACACACCGCTGGCGCGGCCTCGCACAGCCGCGGCCCGAGGGCTCACGGCTTGTCTAGTTCACCCACGGTTACCCGTCACCGAGCACAGCACCTCTTCGGCAGGTGCCAGGTAAATGGTTTTGAACGAATGTGTTGAAGAGACACTATTTGATGTTTTTCAAAGTTGAATCAATAGGTAAATTCAGCATCACAAGACTCTTTAGAAAAGCACTCTAAGGAAAAGGGCCTAAACTTCATGGATATCACGCACCCTGCTGAAAGCATTAGGATGCCCGCGTGTCCCTGGGAACCCACCGCCACGGGCGACAGCACAGCAGTGTGGCCAGGCGCCGGACAGGGATGAACTACCCTTTGGCATGAGATTTATTGAGTAAAGTGCTCTGTGTTCAACATATCAAAAATGTGGCTTTTGCTCTCTCCACCTAATTCGAGTCAAAAAAGTTTCAAGTTTGTAGAAACATACACAGAACTATCTCATCTAAGGTAAAATTACCCAAAGTTTCTATTTCTTATGAAGACTCTGATTAAGTGTTCACAAAATAACACAAGAAGTTGATTCTTCAGAACCTTTACGGTCAAACGGCACTCAGGGGGAACGTGAAGACAGCTTGTTGGCACTCCTGTCCAGGGAGGCCGGCCGCACTGGCAGGGCGACCCCTCCAGGGCCGCACCGACGGGACGCTGTGTGGGGACGGGTCGGAGGTCTCAGCGGAGAGCAGAACTCCCCACCCTGCGCCCTCCAGAGGCACCCCGCCCACTCGGACGAGATGCGACGGCCACCCTGCAGCACCGGCGACCACCCAGCACCCACCAGCGCCAGACCCTTGCATCAGACCCAAGAATTTTATATCCAGTTAGACTCGAGTACGTGAGAAACTGAAGACCAAAGAAAAAGCATGGCAGGAAGTACAGTGCCACCGGTAGGGTCACAGGACGGCACGTCAGGAAGCCTGTGCGCGCCCTGGCTGCGGCAAGGCCCTTAAAGGGGCTTCCGCCAGGACGGAGAGGCAGGGTGTGGAGGGAGCAGGGTGGAAACACAGGGCTGGGGAGAGAAGGCAAAGGCAGAGGCGGTGCCTGCGGGCCAGGTGTGCGGCCTTCCCTGCAGCCAAGGGCCTGCGCCCTCTGTCACGCCCTTTGTCACACCTGCCAATTCCAGACTCTGCTTCCCTCCGCAGGTGGGAGCTGCCCCCCGCCATGAGCACTTCCAGGTGCCGAGATACCACCCTACCCGCCCTTCCAGCTACCGCCCACACTGTATCCCACAGTTCACTGTGGGGCCCCAGGCCATTAGCAGACTTTCTGGGGGAGGGACTGCATGACCAGGAGAGTTTACAAAACACAGCTTCGCTGCAGAGCCTGTGACCTGTCTCTGCGCTTCTGTGTGTGTGCTTGCGTGACCCCTGAAGGGCGACTGTCACAAGCAGACTACTTAGTCACAGGACCCTTCAAAACAGAATGACAGAACCCTAACCCAAAGGGTGCGCGCGCCACAGAGGCTGTGCATGCGCCAACTTGACGAAAGCGTGAAACACGGTGCCTTAGTCACACAGTCCATTTCAAGAGCGTATGGCTAGTGGCTAGCCTAAGGGACAGAGAAAATTCCATTGAATGCAGCGGATCAGACAATAAAGAGATAACTAAATCTTTATGGTTACTTCCTTGTGTGACTTCTCCTTCTGAATTAATACTATATATTCCTGAAAGAAAACTAGAGTTCTTCACATTTCAAATATTCCAGAACTCAAACTTCTCTGCACTTTGGAAAGACCTTTCCCCACAGTAACTCTAAATCACACTGAGGTTTACGGAATGGTATGCACGTTTTCTAAAATGCAAAGAGATGTCCACTGCAACGTGAGGAGAAAGAGCAACATACGCACCACCCACAAAGCCCCTCGCTGAACCGCGATCACAGAGCAGCGCGTCGGCTCAGCGGCGGGGGCGGGCAGGCGGCGGGGGCGGGCAGGCGGCGGGGGCGGGCAGACGCCGTGCTCTGGAAAACCCGCTGACAGCTGCAGCGGCGTCAGCCCCCTCCCTGCAAGGCCAGGGAGGCTTCTCAGAACCTCCTCCCCCAGCCATCTCCCGCTTCCCTCCCACTCAGAGGAGGGGCAAAGGGAGTTTCCTGGCCTTTCCTGGTCGCGGGACCTGCCGGGCCCAGCGGCCCAGTGCCCCGCCTGCCACAGCACTTACCTGTGTGGGTGCGGAGATGAGCCTTGAGGTGGGAACTTTTGAAGTAGGTTTTCCGGCAGCCTGGAAAGTTGCAACCGTAGTTCCTCCTTCGGGAAAAGTCCACCCGAGGGGCACAGCTGTGGCTGGAGGCGATGAACACAGGGGCTGGGGCGAGCGGCAACAACCTGCTGTTCCCGGCCGCCAGGAAGCCAGTCGGGGAGCCCGGGACGGGCTGCGGGAGCGCCCCCGGGGGCAGGACCAGCATCACAGCTCCGGGAGGCACGGGGGCGCCCACGAACACAGGCGGGGGCACCGGAGCAGTGGAGGGCAGGATGGGCGCTGCAGTCCCTGCAGACACCTGGGGAGGTGGCTTCAAAAACGCTGGTAACATGCCACTTTGTCCAGTCACAGGAATCATTTGGCAAAATACAGGGGTGCTGGGGACAGGGACAGAAATCAGAGGAGGGGCTTTCCCTGGCAAGTCATTTTCATAATTCTTTGGTGAGCAGGTCTGAACCGTAACTGGCCAGCCTCCCTGCTGGCCTTTGTCGGGGGCACTGAGGTCATCAGACTTATTTGAGCAAGGCGGGCAGGACACGGAGCTCACGCTGAGTAAATTGTCTTTGAGGTGTGTGCCCTGCGAAGCCTCAGGATGTCCCAGAGGCTGTGCCTCTCCTTCTCTGTCATCTGAAGGTTCGCGTGCTTGAGTCTGGGTGGTCGAAATGTGGACGGGGGCAGGACTCCCTGTGGCGAGGTGGCTGACACCGGTCACCACAGCCTTGCAGTCGGGGCCAGGGGCTGGCTGCCCCGGCTCTGACTTGGACGCAGGCAGGCTCTCCTCCCTCCTGCTTGGCAAGCGGGCTGCGGCAGCACAGGCTGGGGGGATGGCCATGGCTGTGTGTGCTTTGGAATCACCGACCTGGGAAGGAGCAAGTGTCCCCGTCGATGGCTCCATGAGATCAGGGCTAAGAGGAGGAGTCATGCACTTGGGGGAAAAAAAAAAAAGTGCGTGAAAAGGTTGTTTTGGTTAAATTTTAAAAGGCGCTTACTTTGATCAAGCTGCCCCCACTGCCTTTAAAAAGGAATTCTTAGAATACACTGAGCTAAGCCTGCCCACAACAGCAGGGGATTTCTAGGCTGCACAAGGCCCTTACTTTCTACTCCTTTCCCGCTGCTGGGCCTGCACAGTCACTGAAATGAGCAATTTAAGCATGAGGACTGCAGAGGAGAAAATAAATCCACACTCAAAACGAGAGCTTTTCCTAATCATTTTAGACTCTCAGAAAAATCATAAAACCCCAGTGGTAATCACGTAACACACACTTAGCCAGTGCCTATGAGATGAGGCGAGGTAACCCTATCGGAAGGGTCCCCAAAGGCCACGTTCCAACCAGTGGCCTGCCTACACCAAGCCTCCCTGTTCCGCCCCCAACAATCCCCACTTACTTCAGCCTCCCTGTGGAAGAGCCCGAGGCCAAGTGGCTTGGAAGGGGCCCCAGCCGCTAGGCCAGCGCTTCACAACCCTCTCCCCAGCCCGCGAGTCCCTTCTCATCCCTCTCCGAGTGGCTTCCCACACACTCCCCTTCCACGCAAGCTTCCAGGAAATCAGATTACGATTTTCGCTTCTGTTAGCAACCAACAGCCCTCAGCCTCTCCAAGCCGAGAGGCCGCCTCTCCAAGCCATGTCATAGCTGTAGCAAGTTAGGAAAACAAAACAGCACTCGACTGCGGCCAGCTCACGCAAGTAAGAGGCTGGCTGCCACTGCAGGGGTATGTCTACCCAGCTAACTCAGGGCGTCTGGTGCCAAAGTGCCGGCCTGGCCCAGCTGCCACCCACATACCCTGATTCTGGACTCGGTCATCTGGGGAACCAACCCCCTGCCCTGCAATTCTCCAGGGAAGTGAGTACATTTCACTTTCTTGAATTAGCCCATAGGTTTTGTCCTACTGATATTTTAACCCTGTGGCTGTACGCTACGATCAACCAATGGAAAGGCCATGTTTCCAAGAGGTAAAAGGAGTTCTGTCCTTAGGTCCTCCACAAGGGGAGGCTACGAACGTGCTCCTCAGCATCCCAGGGAATGCCCCTGCGACTTCCTCGGCACAGCTGCTGAAGGTACGCTGGCCACTGCACCGCACTCCCCCGTCCCCACCTCTTACCAGTGTGGATAAAGAATGGAAGTCCTTCAGCAGCTCCGAGGTGCCTTCATCTACATGCACGGTGGAGGTGACATCCCCAGAGTCAGACACAGGTGTGAGGGGCCTTATCTTTAACAGGTCACCTTTCTGGGACCTGTGACCCCAGGAGCTCATGCAGACAAGAGCCTCGACAGCTTCGATGTCATTCTGTTCCAAGACGCTGCACGTGGATCTTTCACTGTCATGCCACTTCCTCTCCAGGATGGACTCACATATGTCCATGATATCCACCTAAAGGCAACATAGTGGCTTCTCAGTCCAGGGGAAACCGAGGCATGTGGGCACGCCTCTCTGGAGCCTGCGTTACATACGTAACACAGCACCACACACCACACACAGCAAGCTCTGTTCTCGGAAGAGACGACAACAGAGCGCTCCTGACGACTTCGCTCTCAGGCTGTCGTCCTGAAGACGGGTGACGGAACTGAATGTGGCTGGCACGATGTTTCCACAGAACACCCTCATCTTAAAGAGATTACTGATATGCATGAGGTCCACATTCTTCTTTGGTAAGCTATTAGTAAGACATTAATTCCAAAGGTATAAGCCTAAGCAGCTAGTCCCACCTGGGAACCTGGGAAGGAACCTACATGGACTCCACCTGAGTTTTCCGGTTGGTTGAGATGAGAGCGCAGCCCTTCCGAGTTGGCCAAGCCACCGGAGTGTGTCCCTGGGGATGCATTCTGAGGAACTTACCAGAGCAGTGCCCATAGCCCTGCCAAGCCAGGGCTGGCCCGGCAGAGCCCCAGGGCGGGGCGGGGGGGTGAAACCACGGGCTCCACAAAGGTAGAGCCCTTGTTCCTCAGTCTCAGGAAAAGAAGTCACACCCTCCTGCCACAAGGTCAGTGGGGGGCAGGGGTAAGTAAGAGGAAGCATTTGCACGATCTCCTGCAACCTGGGAGATGCTGTCTTCCCCGGTGTCACACTGGCTTTTCCAAGAGGGAAATGGGTAGGGAAGTGCCTGGGAGTAAGTGATCTCTTCCCAAAGTCACTTCCAATCTATAAAGACACACAGTTCCACTTCGTGTGCCAGGGCATCACACCCTTCTGTCCTGCTCAGGTTCCCCGCAGGGCACACAGGTAATGAGGCAGCCTTTAGAAACGTCACTCCGGCCCAGCTTTGGCCTGGTCCTAGCATAAACTGTGAACTCGTCACAAACGTGGGGGCTGCCCCTGCTCTGCTGCCACTTGCAGGGACGGACCACAACGCACGGCTCCCACACCCCTCTCCGCCCCTTGGCGGTCCGCACTCCGCGACCACCCCGTGCCAGGTCTAGCCAGACATCTTCCCCGCACCGCTCGGCAGGGGCCGCGACTGCAGGAGCCTCCTACTGGGGCGAACGGCGCCCGGCGCGCCCCGCCGCGTGCTGCCTTCCCGCCAGCCTTTGCTTGGCCCACAGGCCGCGTTCCCACAGCCCGGGCCCCGCCCCGCCCCGGTCCCCCGCCAGCCGCTCCCCGCCCAACGCTCACCACCTCCCAGGGCCTGGTGACGTCATGGCCTGGAAATAGACCCGAGCCCGCAGCTGGCTGGGCGGCGCCGCTGCGGGGGCGCGAAACAAAGCTGCGGTAGGGCTGCGCGGAGCACACGCCCCCGCCCGGCCCCACGCGGCCGCTGCCTCTCCTGGCTTTGGAACCTGTCCCGGCATCTAACGGCGTGGCCGTGGCGAGGCCCCGCACTCCTGCTCCCTTCTTCGCGCTCTGGCCCCGCAAAGGTGGCGCGGCTGCGCCTCGTCCCTCGTTCCGGGGGTTAGCCACTTACCGCGCGCGTCTCTCCGGTACCCACGGAGCCCGGCGCGTGCATGGTGCCGGCAACCTACAGGCAACAAAGCGGCGGCGGGGCAGATGCTCAGAGCAAGGCAGGGGCTGCACGTGCGTGGCGGAGGTAGCCAGCGACCCGAGCTCCAGCAGCTGGTACGCGCCTCCACCAGTCCGCGCGGCTCTACTCCGGCGCGGCCGTAGCGCTGCGGGAGGGGCGGGGCGGCCGCCGAGGGCGCGGCCGCGGGGGCGGGGCTCGGAGGCAAACCAAAATACACCGCGCCCCTCCGAGGCGGAGCCGGATACCCGCCAGCCAATCCGCGCCCTATCCATGCACAACCGGCCAATGGGCGCGGCAGGGAGCCGCGTGATCAAAGCTTGGCCGCGGCGTGAGGCGCCAGGGCGGGATACGGCACGTGTTTTGGTAGGAGCGAAGGGGCGGGGCCTGAGGTCTTGGAAAGTAGGGGAAAGGTCCCGGCGGCCCGGCGGTGGCGTGGGCGGCGCGGGCGGCGCGGGCGTCTGGGATGCAGCCCGGGAAGTCCCGGGTCCTGGGCGCGCTGGCTGGGGCGGGGACCGCGCTTAAAGGGGCCGCCATCCACAGCCTTCCCGGCCGCAGGCCCCCATTGACTGAATCCTCCCACCACCTGTAGGCCTCAACCAGGATATTGCTCGCTTGCTTTTCCGTTTTCATTAATCCACTGTCGGCGCTTAGGAGCGTATCGCTGACCTGGAAGAGCTTTGAAAGCCGGCTGGCTCCGGCTAACTTGCCAGTATCTGATTCTTCCTGCAAGCACTCAGAGCCCGAGTTCCCAGGCAGTTTCTGCCTCCGACACCCCTCCTCAGGCAGCTTTGGGCTTCCGTGTCCACTCTTACGTGAGATTAAGGGAAGCCAAGACAGGCAATCACCTGAAACATGCCTGGTGAAACCCGCCCTTTCTTCCCAGCCACGGTGGAAGCGACACTGCCTCTGGGAAGTCCTCGGCCCTGAATGGAAGACAAACCCAGGGCGCCTGTCTTCCTCTTAGACTGAGAAGGAAACAGGTGGGGCCCAGGGCTCTGGCCGCAGCTTGCACCTCACAAGCCATTGCACCTTCCCCGGGTCCTTTAGTTTTTTGTGAGTTGGCTCCCCACCAGAGGTTAGGGAGCTTGTTTAATTCACTGCCAACCCCCAGGGCCTAGCTTACTGCAGGCACACAGTAACTACTGGTTGAGTAAGTGGATGGAGGTGAGCAGCTACTGGGCCCCCCGCCCCGCGCCCCGCCCCGCGCTTGGCTATCCTGAAGACGCCTCTAATTCAGTGTCCTTGAATCTGAACTCGTTCTATACAAACCTGGATTTCTCACCTCACCTCCAGCTACTCCCAAAAATCCGAGGGTCATCTTTGACTCCTCCATTTCCTGCACTTGCTTCTGGCAATCACTTAATGGCTTTCATCCTAAATATTGCTCACGCTATTAACTGCCGTTACCCAGTCCTGCCTTCGTCCAGGCTACCATGATCTCTCACCTGAATTACCGCCATTGCCTCCCAACAGGACTGCCTGCCTCCAGCTTCACCACCTGCAATTTGCTGCTTATCTCTCTGCCAGAATCACCTTCCAGAGCAGAGATGGTATCAAACCCACGATGGCGCCTCTGTTGGAATCCAGGCAGCTCTGGGACTGGGGCTGGGACTGGGACTGGGACTGGACCTCGCTGCCCGGGGAGGAATCCACGACTCTGCATCACCAGGCCCGAGGCGGTGCTCCCTGCCTGATTTCCAGCCGGTTCTCCGCATGCATAACCCTTGGCACGTGGTGTCGCTTCCATGCAGAACGCCCTAACCCCTCTCCGCCTGGACTCTGTGAGACTGCAGGGCAGCTCCTCAGAGAAGCCTTTCCTGACTTCCAAACCGCAGGGCCACTCAGCAGAATGCTAAGCACAGGGCTTTGGGGTCAGATCTCGATCCAAACCCCAGTTCAGCCATGGTGGCCAAGTTGAGGCTGGCCATGTCTCGTTCCTCTAGGAGGTGGCAGCAGCTTCCCATGAGCCTGACGCCCTGACGCCCGAGCCTCCCTCACTTCAGCAGCGGTGCCTAGAAACTTGGGCAGCAGGCTGTCGCAGGCTCTTCAGGCATAAAGCACTATGTCTAGCGCATGCTCCAGACAGAGAGACAGGCCTTCACTCATGCTGGTCCCTCCTCCGTTCTCCCCCATGTCTACCCAGAAACCACTTTTCCATGACGCCTTTCTGCATGTACACACACATGCACGCACGCACAACAGACTGTGTTGCTGCCAGACGCCGGCTTCTGGGCCTGCCTGCAGCCAGAAGGATGTCGACAGGTTTCTAAGCTAAAGACTGTTGTCGGTCATTCGCTCAGAGACGTTTCCGAGGCCCTTGTCGGCAGCTGGCGCCATGGACCCGCAGTCAGAGCAAGGGCTGGCAGGCAAACTGGGCACAAACGCAGACCGCCTCCCCTGGGAAGTACATGCCACCAGCTAGGCTGCCGCCAGTTTCTCGTGTGTCCTTCCAGAGAGGGTCTGTGTGTCTGCAAACACACTGTGGCACACAGGATAGTGTTCTGTGCACCTTCTGAACCTTGCTTACTGACTTTATATGTGACAGCTTGGTGGCTGTTAGATATCTACACAAGAACCGACCTTATACTTTGTTTATTCTTTTACTTTTTAAAAAAGATTTTTAAAAATTTATTCATTTTTAGAGAGGAGAAGGGAGGGAGAGAAATATCAACATGTGGTTACACTTCGCGCGTCCCCTTCTGGGGGCCTGGCCTGCAACCCAGGCATGTGCCCTGCACTGGGAATCAAACCAGTGACTGTTTTGCAGGCTGGTGCTCAATCCACTGAGCCACACCAGACAGGGCCCAACCTTGTGCTTTGTAATGGTTAAATGGTATTTCCCTGCATGGCACACAGACGGGTCATGATTTCTTTAGCCACACCTGCTTACCTCACCAGGGGGCTTAGGTTGCTTCCAGCTTGCCAGGACAACGAGCCCATGCATCATTTGTCCGCGCATGAGGAAAACTACAGGATCACTTCCTAGAGTTGAAATTGCTGGGTCAACTGCTTTTGTATTCCTTTTCTTTATTTCATTTTATTTTTTGGTTTTTGGTCAATTTAATTGCAGCCTAGGATAGATACAGCAAAGTGCAAACACTTAAGTGCACAGTGAATGTTCACGAGGCAAACACACTCGTGACCAGCCCCCCAGATCAAGAAACAGCATCCGCCAACTCCTGGGGCTCCCTCCATGATGCCCTCCCACCGACGTCCTTGTGCCAACGTTCCTTTTGCACGTGCTGAAGCTTGGACAAAGAGAATGACATAGCATCTTCTCTTCGGGGTATGGCACGGCGTTGCTTTTTAGTTGGGATGCATTCACTCTCATAGCCGCACTGTGCTGGCCTGTCCTTCCCTCGTGGCTATCAGGGTTGTTTCCAGCCTCGGGCCATGATGACTGACGTGCTATGGAAATTGCGACACACAGCCGTGTGCGCTTTTAATTTAGAAAGATTGTCAAATTGCCCTCCAAACATGCCTTTGTGCTTGTTCATCACGCAACACCGGCTGCAAAGCCAGTTCCTTATTTCTTCACTAATGTGGGCCTTCTTGAATCCTCTGACCTTTAATAAGCGAAGTGGAAAGCAATCATAATTCATAATATTATTTTGTACTTTTTTTAAAAAAGATTTATTTTTAGAGAGAGGGGAAAGGAGGAAGTGAGAGAGGAAGAGAAACATCGATGTGCCAGAGAAACATTATTGGTTGCCTCTCGCACGCCCCCCAACCAGGCCTGGCCCACAACCCAGGCATGGGCCCTGGCCAGGAATCCAGCCAGAGACCTTTAGGTTTGCAGGACCATACCCGCCCTGCTGAGCCACTCCGGCCAGGGCTTATTCTGTATTTCTTTGATTGAGTTTACTTAACTTTTGTGTATGTAAAGCCATCCTGATTTCTTTTTCCGTGAACTTTGGAAGGAATTTTAAATGACAGTACAGAAACTTGAGCATGTTTCTGTGCTGAAGGGAAGGGGCCTGCGGAGAAGAATGATGCAAGAGAGGGGGAGGGGCCGGTGGGGAAAGAGGTGGGGAGCGTGTGTTGGGGGGTGTTGGGGGGTGCAGGAGGGGTGCAGGCAGGGGAGCGGGCTGTGCAGGAGGAAGGACCTGGTTCTTCAGAGAACCAGAGAGGGAAGGGAAGACGCTGCAGGTCAGGAAGCTCCTGGGATATAGATCAGAAAAGGCCAGGTGCTCGCCTGTGATCCACCTTCGTGCTGATGTGGGAAGAGAAGCCATCTGCCGGGGAGGGGCCTGGTGAGGCGAGAGCTTCGGAATGGCCTCAGAAAGCAACGTGCTAAGGACTCAGGCAGGGAGGGGGCGGCGAGTGTCCCTGCCTCGAGGCTCCACCCAGAGTGTCGGCCCTGGACAGAGACCTGAGCTTTTGTCCTTGCTCCTGGAGTCAGTGCCGGGTCCCCTGGGGCGGGTCTCTTTATCGTGGTTGAGCTTCAGTTCCCTGACCTGCAAAGAATGGAGTTGGATTGGCTCAGCGATTTGAATCAGTCTGGAGCTATGGTCAAGTTACTCTTCATGGTTTTGCTTGGAATGAGAAAAATACAGGCGGCGAGTGCATTTTGTCACGTAGTTAGGTACAATTTAAGGGCTAGCATTTATTCAGAGATTACATCCTCCTGATTTCTTTCTTGTTAGAAAAAGGCGCTGATAGCAGATAGTACATAATGCCCTACCAGGAAAACAAAACACCGGCAGCCCCATGGCAGACCCCCAACTTTGCCCTGAAGTGTTGCGGTCGGTGAGACGCCCAAATCCGGGACTCTCTGAACTAGACGGTTTTGAGAAACTGTTCCATCTCTGATAACCAGGGTTCTACGAGGGCTGGTCTTTCCGCAGTGAACTTGGAGGAGCTGATTCCAGGCCTGGTCAGAAACAGAAGTCTGATGCTGATTCCGCTCTGCCTAGAGCCTGGCAGCTGCCCACCGCGGGTGCACTGCCCCCGCCAGACCCTCAGCCGCTCCCGCCTCCCCCGCCGGGTGCAGGTGGGCCAGCCCGGGCCTCGGCAGCCCTCGAGTCTCCAGTCTTTGGTCTGAGCCCAGCTGCGGGACCAGGAGAAAGGAAGCAAGGCTGCAGTCTGGCTGCCCCGCTGCCCCGCTGCCCCGGCAGGC